TCATGTAAGTAATTTACGTGACTAGTTTCTTTTCCGCTGCTAGACTTCGAACTGGAAACAATTAGAATTTTTCTTTTTGGTTTAAATGTTAAAGAAAAATTAACTTTTCCCAAAAGAATTCATGTTACAACAAAATTAATTATCCCGGCTCATAAGAAGCGTCGATATATGCTTTAGACCACACTTAAAAAAACTGGAATACAATTTGTTATTGTTAGTGTTCCAATGTGATAAAAACAGTGCACGTAGGAAAATTGAGCACGGAGACATAAATGGAAGGCAGAAAAGTTCAAAAGAGTCATCATGGGTTTGCCATAAAATTCATATTGGTGAATTTTGGTGGATATCATTAAATATAAAATTATTAAAATTTGAGTAAAATGAAGAAAAAGAGTATTTTTGGTTGAAATAATGAGATGTATTGAAATATAAAATTAACAAATTTGAGTAAAGAGAAGAGATAGTGGGTATTTTTGGAGAGAGGGAGTATCAAAAATATCAAATAGTTGATACTTTTGAATAGAGAAAGAGTGTGTTTTTAATAATTTTATATTTAAAGAGAGTATAAAATTAATAAAAATTGAGTAAAAGGATGAAAGAGAAGGTATAAAGTTAAGTAAAAAGAAAAGAGAGTGTGTTTTTAATAATTTTATATTTAATGATATCCTCAAAAGTTCATAGATACGGATGCTCTTAAGTAAGTTCCAACACGGTACGAGATGAATGCGACCTCTCTCTCTCTAGACAAAACCTGCGAATGTGAACCACATTTGTTTTTGATACCATTTCTCACTCGACAATCTCTTTTTTAAGTGTTATTTACCAAACCCACTTGGCCTTGACCGATCAGAAAACGACAAGGAGGATGTGTGATGAGGAAAGCCACATCATCAATTCAATTTCATTTTTCAACTAGACGTGGCTCCTTTGAGGCTTAGAGATCCTCTCCTCTCTCTTTTTTGAGTTTTTCTTGTCTACGTGTTTCTCTTTTCAGCGCTCAATAAATTCATGCTGTACTATTTTCAGATTTTTATCAATTTCATTTATCAATTGGAAATAGTTCGATTTCCTCTCATTTAATCACATAAAATTCTAAGACTTTTTCATAAGATTTATGGTTCTTTTTGTATGCCGAGAAAATGTATTGAAATAAACAATTAAAGTCCCTAAAAAAATAAAATCTAAAGCTAATATAGAGAGGTTCTAATCTGAAGCGAAGCACGTATATCCCTACGACCAAGAAAAAAAGGGGTTTTAATCGCTTTCCAAAGAAAATCGAGCTAGGGTTTTATATATAATTTTGTTTAGAATGGAAGAGGTGCAATTCTTATATGATTGTACTTGAGTATCACCAACTCCAACTTATCTTGGCATGTAAAACTAAATTGGCGGATTGTATGTGACAATAAGAATAGTAAAATGTTTCATAATGAACGGTTCACAAAAAAAAATCTTGACTAGTCTTGAAATTCTTGGGTTTTAACTAGAGACTTGTCAAGACTTGTAAACTCCAAAACCAAATTACTTCACTAGAGATCTTCTAAACTTCAATGGAGTTGTTAGTCTTAACAAATCTTTATGTGCATGATTGGTTGGGCTTTAAATGTTGTCTATAGTCTTAATTGTTCTTAAAGCATCATTATGTTACCAATCATGTTGTAGCTTTAATTATTTAAGTTTCAAATCTACACATTTTTTTACCAATCATGTTTTTGCTTTAATTCTCTAAGCTACAATCTCTTTAATTTTTTTTAAATTTCTTTTGCTGTAACATATAAAATTTTACAGTCCTATTTTTATGGCTGTACAAACTCTTTTTTTTTTAAATCACGTTATACACTTTTATTATGATTATTTAGTTAAAACTTCATAAAAACAAATTTTTGAGAGAAAAAATAAATATGGAAGGATTTTAAAACAAGATTGTGACGAATCTATGGAAAAGATAAAATCAAAAGTATTATGAATTATTCTATCAATCACTAAAGTATTTTTATATTTTAAATACATTTACCGAAATTATTTAATTTTAAAATGATATTTTAATTTTTTTTTTAATTGTCCATTTTAAAATAATTTAGAGATTCATTTTTATTGCATTGAAAATTACATAAAGTTTCTATAAACTTGATTATTTGTATAATTAGTACAAAACATTTTATTTTCATAAAATTAGTCGATTTAATTAAAACTATAGCACATATCTTATGTTTACCAATCATGTTTTTAGTTTAAAATAGTTACAGTTACAACTTAAATAGTTACAGCAAAAAAATCTGCAGCAATTAATCTACAGTTACAGCCGAACCAATTGTTTTTTTCAAAGTTTTGTCTATTTTACGACAAATTTTAGCTCGTTCGAGCGAGATCTAGAATTAAAGATTGTTTTGTAAAAAAAAAAAATCATCTATATCACATAACCAGTCAAAGAATTTTGGTATACAGTAATTTATAAATGTGTGGTTGATAGAAAAAATGGTTAAAATCCCATAGTAGTAAAACAAGTCCATTGTATCCAAACTAGCAAATTCGGTAAGAAATCTGCCTATAAGAAATCCTATCCATAACACATCAATTACAGGTTTTAATTTTTTTTTTTTTAAGTATTCCAACTGTGGCATGATATATAGTTGTAAAAATGAATATCCCATTATCAATAAAAATTACAGTAAATAAATTAAAATTCAGAAAATTGGTGGACCTATCATTCACCTTCACCAACTCTATAAATAAAGATATGATGATCTTGAGTTACACCACAAACCAACCAGCTCCTTCATATCATTTTCTCACTTCCTAGTTTCTCTCTCGCATCATCTTTATCATTCTTATAAAGCTAATCGGAGATGGCAACGACGTCGTTTACCATGCAATCAGTGTTCGCCGCTCCTTCCAGTGGCTTGAGCTCTCGCAACATCAGAAACACAAACCAACTCTTCTTCAAGAGGAATGCTTCGGTGGTAGTCAGGTGCATGGCTAAGGTATATACACCTTCGATCACTTATTCCCTATGTTACTTGTTAAATATTAGACATATAATCCTGACCCTTCGTTTGTGTTGACTCTTTTTCTTAAGGATGATTCTATCAAAGAAGGTTCTTCTTCACCCTCGACCTCTGCCGCTCAACCGCAAACT